CTCTCTCAAATAAATAAATAAAATCTTAAAATAAATAAATAAATAAAACAGAAAAACAGACCTGGCACCAGCCTCACTGCAAAATCCACAATCCCAAGCAGAGAAGCTGTGAGCAAGTCATAACAACACAGCCCAGTGACTGGTACAGTAGGAGAAGTGGAGGCTGCTATGGGGGCATAAAACAGAAGAACCACTCCGGGGGCCTAGGAAAGTGCCCCTAGAGTGAGAGATACTCGAGTTCAAACCTAAAGGACAAGCAGGTCATCAGTCTGATGAAAATGAGGAAGAAGACTTCCAGACCATGGAAAGTATTTGCAGCCCCCGCAAAAAATTGAAAGAGCAATGCTCATTCTAAAAACTAAAAGGGGAAAAAAAAAAAAAAACAACCTAGAGATGGAAAGAGTAGTCACGTGCCAGAGGGTCGTGAAAGACATTTTAAGGGGTTTGGGCTTTATCCGAAGGGAAATGGGAAATCACTAACAATCAGGTTGTGGGGCAGCAAGACTAGAGGCAAGGAAACCCAACAGGGGCCCATTTCCAGGATCCAAGGGAGAGATGATAGTAAGCTGGTATGCGGGGGGCAGTGGGGGGTGGGCAGAGGAGATGGAAAAGTAGGCAGATCTAAGAAATATTCAGGAGGGACAATCAACAGGACTTACTCTTCTGGTACAGGAAGTAAGGGAGAGGAAGGAATTAAGGACACCAAAGGGATTCCAGATCTGGAAAGCTGGGTAGACAGCACTATACATTCACTGAGCCAGAGAAAACTGAAGGATAAACAGGGGTGGGGTGGGGTGGGGAAGATGGCAGACTCCCAGCCCCTGGCCCGTCACCAAGGCTTCAGTTCCTGGGACACCCAGCATGCAGAACCTCATCAGCATCTCACAGCACACCTGGCTGAGCTGAATGCCCCTTACCCTGGTCCCTTCTCCGGAAGGTCCACCTCCGCTGACAGTGGACTGTAGACAGGAATGCTGACATCATAGCCTTGCCGGTAAGTCCACGTAGAAAAGCCACCACCAGCCAACAGAGCCCTGAAAGCAAAGGATTTTGTCAAACAATGAGAAAGAAAGGTCTTCATTCTGATAAGCTCTGTGGGAAGGGATAGGAGTAACTGGGTCAATAATAATATCAACAAAGGCCTGTTTCCTGAGTCACTTGTCTCTGAAGACACTGTGCTCAATGTTTCACAGTCATACCTCCTGGACATTGATCCCTGAGTTAGCAGCCTTCTTCTGGGGTCCTAAGTGGTCTTTCCTTCTTTTCCATTTTTTTTAAAACACATCACAGACCAGAGGCCACCCTGTGAACAGCCCCTCTGCTACCTTATTCAGATTCCATTCACCTCTCCCCACAGTCCTACCTCGTTCCGCAACACTCAAACCAGCAAGAACAGACAACAGGTCTGCACGGGAAGCCTGCTGAGACAGTCGCTCACCGACCCTCTGGCCCGAATCTTAGGTGACAATGGGCACAGAAAGCAGTGGGGACAGCAAAGTATCTCATCCCGTGCTGCGCACGCCCCAGCCTCTCTGCAGTGCCCGCCCTGGCAGGTCCCTCTGTGTTGTCCCAGAGCTGCGGGTGGATCGTGTGGTCTCCACCAGCTCTCGCCTGCATTGCAGTTACTCAGTCCCCGTACCGGAAGCATGAATCCACAATTGGACTGTTAGTGCTTCACCTGCACTTTGCACGCACTAGCTTTTCTTCTCCTTAATTAGAAAGCTGTGAACATACTGTTTTAATTGGATCCAGCAAACAGTACAGTGACACTTCATCAGAAAAAGGAAGCAGGTGTAGATCACACCAACTTTTACTGTTATTCTATCCCTGGGGCCCCAAATCCATCAAAATCACTTACTGGGGCAGAGTTTTGCCAGTTTCACGCATCGCACTGTCTGAGCCAAAATGTCTCAACCGAGAAACCACATTTTTTGCAATATTGATTGCTACCAATCCTCGCCCTGCCCTGAGGACAACCTACATTCCCTTCGAACATGACCAGTTGAAGTTCAAAGATTTTCCAACCACCCCTGGAAAACCCAATCTGTTTCTTTAAGCGTTATGAGACCAAGAATTGGTTAGTGAGGTAATGTGCAGGCTAAAAACCTCTCCAGCTGCCAGTCTACTCTGTAAAACTTACTGACTATCCTTAGTACCAACATACGGTCTTATTTTTCCTGATCAGCATTTAGCAGTGAATCCATCCACCATGAATCTGGGCCGATGCCATGACAGCAGGCAGACTGCAGGGGACCCTGTGACCTCTGTGCAGAGAAACAAACATGGATCCAATATAGAGACACCAGGCAATTCAGGTAAGCCAGGGTGGTGGGTGATTAGGTGATTACACTCACAGTCCCAAAGGAAAGGGGAACGAGCAAGGGGCAAGAAAGGAAGCAGGTGTGTATCACACCAACTTGTACTGTAATTCTGTCCCTGGGGCCCCAACTGTTGTTACTCTGTTCCAGGATAGTAGGGTGCGGGTTATGCACTGGTAGGGGAAAGCATGCACTCGGAAGCAGGTCCTACGTCACAGATCATACACTCGAGATCTCTACTTGTGACCTCCGCAAGGGCCAGGACTGCAGTCAAACAGACCTCACACCGGCCCTGCTACTGATAAGACTTCGACTTCAAGTCCCTGTATCTTCTTCTGCCAAGGACTCCACACCATGATAATGGAGACAATAGCGTGAGCTTCCCTTGCTCTACAGAACACGTTTTGCATTGAGTGAAAAGTGCATTTCTGAAAAGCACATTCTGCTTTCCTATTATGTATCCCCAAATCAGAGATCAGTTCCAAAGCTACAAGAGACTGAATAGAAAACTTGCAGCTAAAAAAGCATTAACCTGATGATCAGACTTATGCCAGGTCAAGCATCACGTCACTCGAAGTGTCCTGCAGCATTTTTAGCACGTTGCAGGCCTTCCTGACGCTAGGACACGTCCTCTGTCATAGAGCCCTCTGCAGGCCTCACACACTCCACCATCCCTGCTCCGGTCTGTCCTCAGATGTTCTCCCAGTCCTCCTCCCATCTGAGTGTCCACAGGGCCTAAACACAGTTCGTCTGCAAGCGCATCCTTTGCTTTCTTTTGAAACATGCATGCAATCAGGCTTGCAAATTCCTCAAATATAAAGCTTCAAATTTCGCAAAAAAAAAAAAGCTGACCAATTCTATTAATCATCCTTATTTGTTTACTGAATCAAACAAACTATTTAAAAAATATGTATGAGACAAGTAAATCTGAACAATGGCTAGATATTTGACGATATTAGATTCCTATTAAATTTTTAGATGTGAAAATAGTACTATAGTTGTATTTTTAAAAATCCTTTATCGTGGAGAGATTCAAACGGAAATAATTACAGAGGTAATGATATAACATCTGGAATTTGCTTCTAGATAACCTGGTAGGGGGTGGGTAGGAGTACAAACTAATGGAGACCAGCCTGAGTTGATAATTACCAAAGCTGACAGAGGGGCATGAGTTAGCCATACTAATCTCTTCTTTTATACAGGTTTGAAATTTTCTATAACAAGGTAAATAAAACCCACACGAAGTAGAAATCTGTGAGAGATGTGCAAAGAAACAATAACAATCCAGCATAGTAAGAGTATTACAAAACATATATGAGAAAACAAAGATTGGTAAAGTAAGGCACTGAAGAGGTATAATTTGCTCCCACTTAAAATGGGTCTGTGTGTGTGTGTGTATACATATATATATACACACACAGACATGCACATGCACATATTTATACATGTTGTGTATAAATCCATAGGAAAAAAGGCTAGAAAAATACAGAGTATTTGAGGACAATGACTACCTTTCAGTAAGGGAAGGAAAATAGAGGAGGATTTGAAGCATATGTTTATATTTTACTCTTTATATGCTTGCACATTGTTGCAATCTTGTACAAAGAAAGTATACCCGCAGCATGTGTAGGATTTTTAAAAATTGGAAGAGAAATAAAAACAGATTTAAGCAGCACAAAAGATATATATGCTGAGCAGACATTTCCTTCTGTCCTGGTCCTTACATTTCCCCGAGTAAAATCATTCTCAAGCAATCTCACCTATGACCTTAGATTTCAGCCCTTAACACAGTCTAATCTAGCCTGTCTGCTTTCTAACTTCCAAATAATCTGATATGCAGCTCTTGCTAAAACCATTCTGTCCTCATGGTTCTTGCCTCCTCTGAATCCAGGAACAAGGACAAATGATAAGAAAAACTCACAAAAAATCTACTCTTCCTTCCAACCAGAAGACCACCTAGGTTTCAAAATGAAATTTCCCACATGCACAGATAAAGAAGGAACACAGTGATTCATTACTTGCTATAGGATTGCCTATAATCACTTACAAAAATACATCCACAGGGAAAAAGATTTAACCCTCCTGATCCTTAACACCTAAGCACTAGCAAGAACTCAAACTTCTTCTTGACTACTTGACACTTCCCCGCAGAGAAGTGAAACCCCATTTAACATGTGCACTTGATAAAAATAAAATCCTTCTCCCATGCAAATACATATACCAAAATGTCAGCAAAAAGTGAAATGTCCCAAACAGAAATAAGCCCTTCTCAAAATAAACCCAGAACAGCAGGTGAAGACACAGCATTCCTAACAGCTTTTTCTTCCCTTCTCTGTTCCCTAAAGTATTTCACTTTCCCAGAGCAACCAAATCCATAAAACAGTAGCCCACTCAGGAACGCTGAGGCTGACAGCCACACCAGGGCTCCCCTTGTGTTTAGCTGGGTTCTATAGAATTTGTGTAGCCTGACTGCCCTCTATGGACCAAAACGCTTTCTACACCAAAGGTGAGAGGGGGGTCCTGGAGTGTAGGTCTCTTCTAGTGGTAGTTGTATTTCCAGATAGAAACACAACAATGACCCTACATAATAACCACTTAAGGTAAAGAGGCTTGGATTTAATCATCCAGGGAAAAGTAGTCCCAAGCGCAGATTTTCATAAATGCTGGTGTCAGCCTTTAGCGAGCTGAGAACACCACTGGCCTCGGGCTACCCTTTAACCCGTAACAGTGATTTTACGAGTGAAACATCAACTGTAATAAAATGACTTATGAGTGAGTTCTGATGTCAACTCACAACACTGCTGTACCTTGAGTATTGCCCGGGACCCCTACCATGGACCTCACTTTTCTGCTGTCCTCAAAGCCTTGAACCCAGTACTAGGAAAGGAACCTCACACGGTACCCCATCCCTGAGCCTTCTGGGAAGCCTTCAGCCCAAGCAGTTCAGTCGATGTGGAAAAGGGCTGATTAACAGAGTGAGCAGACTCAATCATAATCCTGCAATCCCAACCACCCCACACCACACGTGCTGTTTGGAAGGTTTCATTAGGAAGAGAGGAAGGAAAGAAGTGGGTGGGGGCCAGGAGGGATGGGAGGACAGAAGGAAAGACCCCACTGACCGAGGCAATGGAGAGTAAATGAACCAGAGTGCTCTCGTTCCCCTGACATGACAGGCTCTAGGTGTCACTTTCACACCTCCATGCCCCCTTCCCACAGCAATCTGCGGCTCTACTTTTCACAAATGCTCCCAAATTCGGACAAAGCCGACACAAGCCAGGCATGAAACGGGCCTTGGGGTTGGGGGTGCTGCATTAAGGAGAGCAAAACTCAGACTGAGAAAAAAAGATCGTTTTTTAAAACGCTATGCTAGGGACGCCTGGGTGGCTCAGTTAGTTAAGTGTCTGCCTTTGGCTCGGGTCATGATCCCAGGGTCCTGGGATCAAGTCCCGCATCGGGCTCCTTGCTGAGCGGGGAGCCTGCTTCTCCCTCTGCCTGCGGCTCCCTCTGCCTGTGCTCTCTCTGTGTCTGTCTCTCTCTGACAAGTAAATAAAATCTTTAAAAAAAAATGAAATGCTTTGCTATAACGTAAGTTCTAGTCGGTTCTCCATAACAGATTTAAGCAGGTCCAGTCTCACTACATCTATGTCTCAAGGAGGGAAATGCCTAGGACAATGTTTTATTTTGACAAACAATTCTGATTACATAGTCTGCCCCACTAGCCTTGGAAATAGGACTTCACATGAAAGAAAGGGTCTTGCATTTCCTTAACCCTCAGAAACCCATCACTGGGATAACCCCAAATACACTTACCTGTCTCTGGGGACATCCAGAGCCGTGTTATAATCTGGGGGACCTCCAGGCAACATGTTGAACAGCAGGTGGTTTGTACCTCGATCCCACCTATTAAGAAATGAAACATGTACATGTAGTTGAATTTACATGTCAACTACGAAGGAACAGAAACAAGAATCAGTTACTGGGATGACAAGCAGCAAGTATCCCCAACCCCAACTAGGGCTACTTCTCCGGGGTGCCAAGTGAATTCCTAGAAATCCCAAGAGTACATCAGACACTAGGCTGGCTCCTCGAAAAAAAAACAGGTAGATGTGTACTTCGAGCTTGGCCACTACAGGTGTGCCTACGATAATGACAACCCAAAAACGATCTGAATGTTCACCATTTGGTTAAAGAAACAAAAAAGGAATATAGAAGGCTGGTTAAGTACATCATGGAACATGCATAAAATGGAAGGCTGTACAACCCTTAAAATTATATAGTAAACGAACATGAAGCTATCTGGAAATACATTCACAACGTATTAAGGAAAAAGGGCAGCACAAGAGTATAGAATTGTGTAATCCCATTTCTGACGAAACGTGTACACGTGCATATGCCTACTTCATACAAAAATGTATATACACATGCGTACGTGTATATTTTTTATACAAAAATGACTGGGAAGTAACATCATTGAGGTGGCATCATGGAACGAATCTTACATGCTTCTTTTTGCTTACTTATATTCCCAGACCTTTTACAGTGAACATGCTAATATATTACATAAGTAGTAAGGGGTGGGGGGAGATTTCAATATAACAGGAAAGCTATGGGAGGATGAGCCATCCCGAGGTTTTAAACTCCATGCAGGTGGGAGCCCACAGCAATAGGTCGGCTGGCTGACGGCTTTTCACCGGTACAGAGGCGAGGTGCTTCCGGCACCAGCTTCACGCTCCAAGTCGGTCACTCATACACATGCCCTCCCACGAGGAAAGAGACAGCAGCTGGAGGCCAGCTCAAGAGGAGGCCCATCCCCTCTCCCCGCCCCTCCCTCCAGCTCCCCCAAGGCCCTGACTCCCGTCTGTAAACGTGCTACACACCTAGAGAGCTGGCCCAGTGCCTGTGCTGTCTCCTTAATGCGGAGCGTGTTCTGGTTAAGGACGTCGATGGATGGGACAAACAGGCAGGCCCGGGTGATGTCATCAGTATAGTAGTCGCTGTCTGAGATGGCCGTGAGCAGTTCGTTATACTCCCGGGAGATGGTGTTGCTGACAGGGACACCAGCGTCGTCCACATACTTTTTCAGAGAGTAGATATACACCTTGATTTTGTTCTTTGGGTTGAAGCCACAGCGGTAGACATCAAAACACGTGTGCATTCTGCAGCTGAGATCGCCGCGCTCGGGGCTGGGACTATCGGCCGGCAGCCTGACCACAGGCACGTCGCGGACACTGCGCTTCTCTACGTTCCAGTCACTGGAGGACTCGATGGAATGGGGCCAGAACTGAAACATGCCGGTGGCAATGAGGCCCAGCAGGACGATGGAGAAGAGGGTGATGTAGTAGATTCGGTGCTTGGTCTTCATTCTTGGGATGAGGGCAGGACCCCGGATATTGTACTTGACCGACGCACACATAATGACACAGACAGCCTCTTCCTCCCACTCCTAGTTCCAGGGGGAGACACAAGAAAAATGAAGCAGGCAGGGTGGCAAGTGACCCCTGAAAGGACTGTCTGACCCTCAGCATACCTATTTCTTTCCCTGAAGCGGTTTGAGGAAATAATGAAAAGGGATTTTTGACCCTTCTTGTAAATATATTCGAATATATATTTGTGTATTAAATGTGTGCTATATGCCATATTTAGTATTTCATATTGTACACACTAAATACAAATGTTGATAAATTTAACTATATCCTATAAATATATATTCAATGAAAGCATAAGTCATAAATGCGTGGGGCCTAGGAAGAGGGGCACTGACCAAGGAAGAAAGTCAAAAGTAGAATAAAGATAGTTGTTTTATTTTGTTTTTAAACACTTGGCTAACATATGGGGCACCTGGGTGGCTCAGTCGGTTGAGCTTCCGACTGTTGGTTTCGGCTCAGGTCATGATCTCAGGGTAGTGGGATCGAGCCCCACGGGCTCCACGTTCTGCAGGGAGTCTGCTTGAGAGTCTCTCTCTCTGCCCCTCCCCCCCCAGTCTCTAAATAAATAAAAGTCTTTAAAAAAGAAACCACTTGCCTAACATAAACTGATGCTTCATCTGGACAAACTGGCTCTTGGTTATCCTAAAATCTGTTTTCATTCACTTATTCAGTCAACCCTATGATGAGCGAGCACCGAACACGCACTGTACAAGAAACGAGGAAGAAAGCAAAGACTCCACCTTACGGGAACTTACATTCTACTGAGGGAGGTAAGACAAAGCTATGACAAAATGCAAAATGTAAAAATATCACTAGGAAAGTATCAATAAGGTGCCAAGGACTATTAGGCTAGATTACTCTTTAAATAAAATATAGTGATGTTTTATAAGGTGACAAATTGACACATTTAGATGGAAGGAAAGTAGAAAAGCATAGGGAGATATGGAGCGAGGGAAAGAAGGGTCAATGTGGTGGATCAATTTCCAAAGACTGATGCCAACAATTCTTCACATCTTTGAATGTGCATGCCACTTTTCTAATCAAAAGGCAGAATCTATTTCTCTTCCCCCCTGAATCTGGGCTAGCCTTGTGACTTGCTCTGACCGGGAGAATGTGGCGGAAGTGACATTCTCGGGCTTTTGAGCGCAGGCTTTAAGAGACCTGTAGCTGCTGTTCTGTCCTCTGGGAACCCAGCTGCCGTGCCATCAGGAAGCTGGGCTCCCAGCTGAAGGTAACCCCAGGGAGACCCCACTGCAAACTGAATAAAACAGACAGGAACCATCCCCAGCAAGTTCTGCACAGACTGCAGAATCCTGAGCAAATACATGGTAGTTATTGTTGCTTGGGTCACTAAATTTTGGGTTGGTTTGTTATACAGCAATACCTCAATGAAACAGCCAGTAAGCATCTCTGAATGATACAAAGATATTCTTAGTCCTCACCTGAAAATACGGACCTTCCCTGTAGATCACAACTTAAGATCCTTACCAAACAAGCCTGCCCCACTGGATGCCTGGATACTGTGTGGGGAGGGCAGAGCCGTGGGACTGCACCACGTGTCACAGACTCACCATGTCACTGCGGTAAGCTGCTTCGGGCAAGCCACGTGTCAAAGTCCCAACCTACAAAATGGTCTCATTCTACTCACTGGTATTTCAGAAAAGCTATTAATAAAAAGGGAAAAAACTGAAAAGTTCATGGACCATCTTCAAGGTTAGCAACCATTTTTACTTTGGCTAAATGGCGCTCTCCCGCATCACTGCCCACATGGCAAAACGGCTTCCGGCCTAGCTGGCGGGGTGCTGCCAAGCCTTGAATGTTGCAATCCCACCAGCTTTGGGGGCAAAATGTAAACAGTCACAAAAGATTTCAACTTGTATCTCCTGTGACCATCGGTTGGAATGTAAGAAATCTGCTGGTCACACATGACTGCATGAAGGTGCATATATTTTTAAGCTTAAAAATTATCATCTTTGCGGAACATACATCAACCATTCACATATGTTCATTGATTCCAGGACAGAAATATGAGCATGAGAACCGTTTCAGTGTTTCTGTCATTCTAACCACCAGCTTGCCCCTACTCCCTACTACCTCCAGTCCCCCTCCCCCCCCCAAGGTAGCTTTCTTGGCATTCTCTGTCTCTGCGGGAGCTAGAAGATAGGAAGGCTCAGCACACATGCAGGCAAGGAGCCACCCGCTCCACGGCGGCAAGTCAGAACTCCCCAGCAGGCTCTCCAGGTACATTTATCCCCGGATCGGTGGTTTTCAAACACCCAAAGGGTGAGCATCACAGGCGCAGGTTGTTAAACCAGAGTCTTTGGCCCAGGTGCCGGAGGTCTGTACTAGCCCGTCTAAAATAGGGTCACCGAATCTGGCATTTTAGCAGGCTCCTCAGTGTTTTTTTGTGTCATCAGGTTTGAAATCTTGACTGAAATTAGACAAACTACCTTTTAACACAGTGGCTTTCACACCTTTTTTTTTTTTTTTAAACTAAAACCTACAATAAGAAATACATTTTATATTGTGACCCAATACAGATATAGGTGTGTGTGTATTTTAAATAAAAGCTTCACAGGAGCCCCTGGGTGGCTCAGTTGGTTGAGCAGCTGACTCCTGATTTCAGCCTAGGCACAAATATCTAGAATGAAAACTCTAAATGCTGCCTGTAGTTAAAAGATGATATCAATGAACTTACACCAATATATTTGAAAACTTAGATGAGCTAGAAAAATTCTTTAAAAACAAAACTTTAGGGGCACCTGGGTGGCTCAGTCAGTTGAGCATCTGCCTTCGGCTCGTGTCATGATCTCAGGGTCCTGAGATCGAGCCCCGCATCAGGCTCCCTGCTCGGCGGGAGGCCTGCTTCTCCCTCTCCCACTCCCCCTGCTTGTGTTCCCTCTCTCACTGTCTCTCTCTCTGTCAAATGAATAAATAAAATCTTTAAAAAATAAATAAATAAAAACTTTAAAAATCTTCCTATAAAGAAAATTTCAGGCCCAGAAGTTCTACTGCACATTCAAGAAATAATTCCAATTTTACACAAATTATTTCCAAGTCCAGAAAGAAAGGTGAAACACTCCCCAGCTTCTATTAGGAGGCTAGCATAACCTTAATACCAAAATCTCACACTGGTGGTTCTCAAAGTACGTCTGATGCCAGGAGTCCCCATGACCCTTTCAAAGGCTCTGAACAATACTGACAGGATTTTTTCACTTTCATTTTTGAGGCCATGTGACACATGTTATTGTAAAGACTGCAGAAGTAGATATGAGAATTCAGCTGTCTTCTGATAAGTTTTTCCTAATTCAATGAAAGATATCAACCCACAGATTCAAGATGCTCAAATCTGGGGCACCTGGGTGGCTCAGTTGGTTAAGCGACTGCCTTCGGCTCAGGTCATGAGCTTGGAGTCCCAGGATCAAGTCCTGCATCAGGCTCCCTGCTCAGCGGAGGGTCTGCTTCTACCTCTGACCCTCCCCCTTCTCATGCTCTCTCTGTCTCTCTCATTCTTTCTCTCTCAAATAAAGAAATAAGATCTTTAAAAAAAAAAATGCTCAAATCCAAGCAGAATATATACAAAAAAAAAAAAAAATAGCCACCTAGATATGTCGAAGTAAAACAACTAAAAAGAAAGCTAAAGAAAAAAATGTTAAAAGCAGCCAGAGGGGAGAAAAATCTATCCAAGGTCTATTAAAAAACTACGTGTAACAGGCAAAACTATAAAATACTTAGAAATCTCTATGACTTCTGGGCAGAGAATGATTTCTAAAACAAAATACAAGAAGTGCAAACCATAAAAAGATAAAATGATAAAACCTGTGTTACAATTAAGAATTTTTCTTCATCAAAAGATACCATATAGAAGTAAAAAGACAATCAATAAACTAGTAGAGACCTGCAATCCATATAACTGATAAGGACTAGCAAGCCAAATAAAGAATGCCTACAAAACAATAAAAACAAACAAAGAACAAGAAAACAAAAAGGAGAAAACCAGACAGAAGACTTAAGCAGGAATTACACAGGAGAGGACACAAAATCGGCACAGCGACACCTGAAAACCACCTTTAGTCTCATCAATGGTCAGCGAACGTATAACGACAATGAGACACCATCCAGCCACCAACACAAGAAAACGGAAGAGTCAAACAGCACCCGGTGTGGGCAGGGCCTGGAGCCACTGAACTCCGCTGGTAGGAGTATATGAACAGGCTTGAGTCCCAAGTGGTCAGCAGGAGGGCTGGAAAGAAGAGGGGCTAATGCCCCTATGTTAGAGTCCTAAGCATCACATTGCGCTTCCTACTTGTCATAGTTTGGTCCCCCTGGCCCCCTGCAAAAAGAACCAGAGACAAGGATGGAGGTACAGGGAGTTTCCTTACTTGGGAGGTGATCTCAGAAGGCCAGAGTAAACAGCAAGGAGAGAGAGAGACACAGAACCAGGGACAGCCAGTAAGGTGGGCAATAGGGGCTCTTGGGAGTCCTAGGAACTCTTGAAAAACCACAAAAACTAAACTTGTCCCTCAGAAGGATGAGAAGCCAAGGCACTGATCTCCCAACTCCCGCCCACTATTGCTTGAGATTGTCTGGTACTATTATCAGCTCATACTCTGTACTCAACAACCCTCAAAAGGTCTGGATCTTATCCTTTCCTCAATGTACCATTAGTCTGATAAAGAGCTGCAGTTCCTGGAGGAAGGACTGGGTGAACGTCTGTCTATACTTGCAGGAACGTTTCAAAGACCTCTTTAAAGAGACCCAGGCTCCCTCTCAATCCATGGGATATGGGTCTGAGCTCCTGTCTGAAAACTGGGGTTGAACAGTGATTTTTCCACTGCAACAGCTGACATCAGCCTTCTACTTGCCCGCTCTTGGTTTTTTTTTTTTCTGGTTATACAAGTCAAGCAATACCTTAGTTAGCTGCCCATCTATACTGTCCTTAAGGATACTATACTCTATTAGCATCACTGTGGATCAAGACACATCAGCAGCAAGTTGGGCTTTATTGGCCATTGTGGGAACTGTGTCTACCATGCCACTGAAGGTCAATGCCACCCAGCCTCCGCTATTTCAGAATCCTATCACCCTCACAGATACTTGGGAACCCAGTTCCCCAATCACATCTAAAGCCAATTCTGGCCTACAGGAAACAGTCCACACTGAGCTTCTCAAAGATGCTGGCCTCCAGTGGGCATTCCATGTTGCCAGAATTATAGGAGTGAGCCCTCCCAGGAACATGGGCAGGTGTACATCTCTGGCCTCAAATAATAAATCTATTTCAAATCTCCACCTCCCAATACCTCTGATCCCTTCCTCAACACTCTCCCCAGACAGCTCTGGCATCTCCACCTCATTTCCTACAGGCCAGCAGTTTCTGGCCTGTTATCTCGGGCCACATCATCCTTTTCTGTGGGGAGCCAGAAACAACCCCCAGTTTTGAGAACCAAAAATATATCCAGACATTGCCAAATACCCCCGGGGGAGCCAAAATCACCCCTACCTGAGAACCAGTGGTGCAGATCATCGTCATGTCCAAGTTTCAAGGAATCTGCCCAGTTGCTCCAGTTGTTCTTGCAAGATCATTAAACCCCTAATCCTGAGAGAATGCTCCTAAAGAGACACAGCCTTTCCCAAGCAGCTTTATGGTCCACCGTTACCCCACTCTTCAGGTGACACCCTCAAGATTCACTCGCACACGTGTGCCCTCACCCGCTGGTTCCCAGGAGCCAGGTCCTACAACTCCAGTACGAAAGCTATTTGTCCAGTAGCAGGGACTGTACTTCCCCGCTTAGGCAATGCTGAGATCCGAGGGGAGGGGGAGGCAGATCTTCAGAGGATAAGTACCATCCTGCAAGTCAAGAGCCTTCAGCAAGGTCTTTGCAGAGTGTCCAGAGGATACTTCCACTAGCCCCGAGGATCTAAGGAAATCTGGGAGTTCAGAGTTCTCCATGCTTCTACCAAATAGCTGCATCTCAGGCCTCACCCCTGACTTTAGCAGAGGTCACCTGCCCCAGGCTGCGCCTTCAGCCTCCTCTGCAGTTCTGCCATAATTATGATTAAATTCCGCGCCTGATTTTCGACAGTCTGGCTTCTGACTGCAGGAGATGCTGCCACAGAGCCTTCTGTCGCTCACAGTGTGTCCCAGGGTTGATACCTGGCTGATCTGAGCCTGACCTTACCTCAAGGCTCGAAGAAAGATGACAAGAGACAGCCAGCTCCACTAGCCTTATCATTCCCATGGTCCATATCCTGCCCACGTGCTAGAGCTACTGTACTAGCCAATGCTTTCCCTTCTACCTGAGTCACATCCCGCCCACCGTTGGCGAGAGTCACACAACTGTGATGCTAGAGTACCAGGGGTTATCAACAGCTGCATAGGGGCCCTTGTTGCCATCTGAGGGTGAGGGAGTCCAGTTTTACAATACTATTCTCAGGGTCGGCTTTCCAGAGCCACTTCTAGTACCAACTGTCTTAGCTTATGTTCCACCAAACTAGGAAAAAACAACTGGAAAGCAGGGAGCTTGCAGAAGATGAGTCCAGAGAGCCAGAGTGAGGGACGAAGGAGGGGAGTCAGGGAAGAATGGAAAGCCATGAGGATTACCATACTGAGCTGAGGAATGGGGCTCAGTCCTCTGCAGAACTATGTAGAACACACCTCAGAACTGTCCCTTTGAAGGAGAGGAAATGATGGCATTCATCCACTGAAGCCCATCCCCTACTGGCTGAGGGCTATTCCCAGATGTAAACTCACATTTTTGAGATATGCCTACACAGCCAAAGCAAGCTCCCACAAGCCTTTGCCAAACAGGTGGGAGATATGGTGAGTATCTGAGGTGAAGTAAAACTAAAAATGAGGGGAGCGACACCTGGGTGGCTCAGTTGGTTGAACGTCCAACTCTTGGTTTCAGCTCAGGTCATGATCCCAGGGTTATAGGGTTCTGCACTCAACAAGGAGTCTGCTTGGGATTCTCTCTCCCTCTCCCTCTGCCCCTCCCCACTGCTTGCGTGCTCACACTCTCTCTCCCTCTCTCTCTCAAATAAGTAAATCTTTAAACAAAAAAAAAGGGGGGGGGAGGGGAAAAGCCTTAAATGAAAAAGGAAAGCAAAGGATGAGAGATGAGAGGAAAAAAGTCCCTTACTAAATGGTGCTTTAGAGATAGAGAACCTTCTTGGTGAGCATCCATGTACCTTTCACATACCTCATCCCAACATTTGCCGTGTTATATTAAGTATTTGCAAGTTTGTCTCTTCTACTGGTTGTCATTTTCTTGTAGTCAATTTCCACACACTGAAGCACAGAAAGATGTATGTCCCCAAAACCATCATCCAAGAAAACGAGTCATAATCTTCCCATCCTAAGAGGACACTTGCTACCACCACCATGTTCAATGCCCCTGACACTGAGCCTCTCGGAAGAGGACTGAAAGGAGTCTTCTACTAATTAATGTTCCACATAATACCATAACCCATATGAAACGAGAATTTCACAGCAAAGCCTTACAAACTTAACCTCCCTGAAACACATCAAACCTGTCCCTGCAAAACACTGGAATCATCTGTCTAACTGTCAAGCACTGAGTCACTGGAAAAATCTTTTAACTCCTCTCTACTGTCAGGATGAGATGCATTTTCTGTTCCTGGAATTATTTATCCCGAAAATGTGCCTGAAAATCTATCCTTGGTGCTTCAGGCTATATCCAATCCATTTAGTCTGATGCTCTGAGTCACAATCTCTTGTCTTAACCTTTTTAGAAAAGCCCTCACAACTGAACTCCCAGGGCCACTGCAATACTGGAACTTAACCCCACTGTGCCTGAAAACAAAGGAACCAAATATTAGCAAAAGAAGGAAAATCTGTGATTCATTGCCTTCCTTGATAGGGTTCTTTATAATTAAAGTTATATGATGACTAACCATCCCTAAAAATGGTTTCCAATGGGGAAAAAAAAAAAGTGTTTCCTTGATTGTGAGAATTATACTATAATTAATATAATGTATATAACAACTAATAACTAAACTATACTGAGGACTCACTACATGCATCTGTTTTAAGCACTTTGTGTTAACTTATTTAATCTTTCTAACAGTGCCATGTGACAAGCTATTATTATCCTCATTTTACAGATAGGGAAAGTGCAAGGGGAAGGCTAAGTAACTTGCACAATGTCACAAAACTAGAAAATGCCAAGGCTAGGATTGGGAGGATGGGGGGCGCCTGGGTGGCTCAGTTGGTTAAGCGACTGCCTTCGGCTCAGGTCATGATCCTGGAGTCCCGGGATCGAGTCCCGGGATCGAGTCCCGCATCAGGCTCTCTGCTCGGCAGGGAGTCTGCTTCTCCCTCTGACCCTCCTCCCTCTCATTCTCTCTCTCAAATAAATAAATAAAATCTTTAAAAAAAAAAAAGGATTGGGAGGATGGCAGTCTGACTCTGGAGCCCCAGCTACTAACCTCCAAGCCTCGTCTAATTACTTATGAAAGCCTAGATTAGATCTACCTTTTTCACTCCTCAACAAGCAAAGGCAGCATAACTTGACGGATCCAAATTTATCTATTCATACCAGCACATGCAACCGAGAGGCTTAAGACAGCGGAAGTGAGGAATGCTGGAAACTGAGTCATATATTAACACGAACAGCCTTTGAGCCCTGAAATTTACAAACCCAAGTCCAGTGCAAATCCTTACAGCACTCAGCTGACTCCGAAGAATTAAAATTGACATATTTCTATTTAAAGGCATCTTCAGACCAGTAAGTCAAGGACCCTTCTAGCTTAGCAGTTCCCAACAAGTTACACCAGGCAATCATTTGAGTCTCAAAACTGATCTGGCTCCCACCGCCAGTAGTAAACCTCTAAATGCCTCTGAGCTTTGATGCCCAGAGCCTGGGCACCCCGGACCACCTTCCCCACCCAGTCTTTTCTCCGCGCTGAGGGCACAGTGCCCCAAGCCCTGCCCTGGCATCCTGCGCTGCACGGGCTACCACCGGCCGCGGGAGAGCCCAGCGCGCCAGAAATCGCCGCGGGGAGAACCCGATCCCCGCAGCTCGCGGGAAGGAGGTGGCAGCGGGAAGGCAGAGGTCCCGGGGCAGGGTGGGCCCTGCGGGAAAGGCAGCTGCGGGGTCCCGCGAGAGAGGAAAGGGGCGGGCGGGGGCAAAGGAGACAAGTGGGCAGCAAAGCGCGGGGCGGGCCAGGTTACCAGGGACCAGGCGGTGCGGAGATCCAAGCGCTCCCACAGCGCGAGACGC